AGAAAAGTCCTCTGAGGTGGCTGCAGCTTTAAACACATCCCAGTCTGTCTGGGTGAAACAGTCCTGCAGGGTGCCTTCAGTCTCTGGGGTCCAGAGTTTAATTTGTTTGGTGACAGGGTTTGTTTGTTTCAGTCTTTGTCTGTAAGCTGGATACAGGAACAAAGAAATGTGGTCCAAGCGTCCAAGGTGGGGGCGGGGTGCAACCCTGTATGCACCCCGTATGTTACTGTAAACATGATCCAGAGTGTTCTTGCCCCGAGTGGGAATGTTCACATGTTGATAATATTTGGGGAGTACAGTCCGTAAATTGCACTGGTTAAAGTCGCCTGCAGTGATAAATACAGCATTGGGGTGCGCTGTCTCTGTGTATATTCACTTATCAGCAGTTGTCAGTGCACAAATACAATTAAAGAGGCCTCAGAAGACTAATGTGATTTTAATGTGAGTTGCAGTTTGAAACAAATTGAATTGGAATCATTATCAAGTTTATTGGCCAATTATGTTTAAACACAAGGAATTTGACTCTAGCACAGGGGCTTTTGGAAGGCATCAAGAAAAGTACAGCAGTACCCTGTGTTACTACTGCACAATTTCAGGGGTGAAGCATATTGCTGACCTGAATCAGCAAGGTAATGATAGCAATCAGGCTTGCCAGTAGATGTTGTAGTGCCTTCAAAGCACCACTAGAAGGCAACCGAGTTATTTGTATTTGTGGAGAAGCAATGACTGCATGTAAGGACTGATGCAATCCATTGTGATCAACAACTCCTTGATGTGCTGTTTACCTTTCTAATATGTTCCTGTATGTTGAGAAGTAAACATTTTAAAAGAGAAGAACTGGCATTATATATCTTTCCTGCTAAATCTTGGTCTACAAACATGATATTTTTGTATGTATAATGTCTTTGCCCAAGTAGAGACTAGAGCCTTATGGTGAATTCTGATGCCTATACCTCTTGACAGTGACACTACACACCCAAAGAACAGACTGTACTCCTTTACTGTATTCTGAATCTACATAAATGCTCTTTTTGGACATTTTCACCATGACTCTATCACAAGAAAAAATACAGCATTGATGTTACATGTACAGTATGTTGCCTTCCTGATGGGACATCTTGCACTGAATCCTTCCATACAAATGCAGTACCAAGGTTTGGCCAGCAGATGTCACCATGTTACTTGAATCAAATGCTTCACAGCAATGAACCATTTTCAGCACTCTCAACATGGTTCTGTGTTTTAGAAAGCTTTGTTTCCTGCTCCAGTAGAGGCTGTAAACTCCTCCTTGTATAAACCACCGTTTCTTTTTCTACAGCCAACCGCAAGTCAAAGGCATAGGTTTAAATATTCCAACTTGACACATAAAGGGACTCAACATTGTAAATTCATTTTCAGGCTGTTGCCATTGTGCATGCAGTCAGGCTGTCAAGGATTGACATGGCACATGAACAGAGTCCAACCATGTTATTTGTAACACCTGTGCTTTTCCTATTATGAACAAGTCAAAGTATCTACTTTGAAAAAGGCCTGTTGCCTGGATCGGGTCTGACAGTTCCAGGTCTAAACAGAAGCCAAGAGAAGTAAAATTGAAAAGAGATGCTAAAATAATTATTGGTTGTGGAAATACTTAGGTAAAATGGTCATGGATATCAGTGTGGGGTAGCATGGTGACACAGTGGTTAGCACTGTCGCCTCACAGCAAGAAAGTTCCGGATTTAAGCCCCAGCTTGGGGCCTTTTTGTCTGGAGTTTGCATGTTCTCCCTGTGCTTGCATGGGTTCTCTCCGGGTACTCCGGCTTCCATGTCCAAAGACATGCAGCTTAGGTTGACTGGCAACTCTAAATTGCCTATAGGAGTAAATGTGAGTGTGTGTGGTTGTTTATCTACATGTCATCCCTGTGATAGACTGGCGACCTGTCCGGGGTGGACCCCGCCTCTCACCCAGTGTCAGTTGGCATTGGCTCCTGCTCCCTTTAGACCCTGTTCAAGATAAGCGGTATTGATAACGGATGGGATGGATGGAATATCAGTGTTTACCTACCTATCACCACCTAGTGGATACAAATGTTCTATTATTTCAGTATACAGACTTTACTATCTTATTAATATTGAAACATATTTTTAAATTAATTCTAAAGTACATTTTGTTCTGGTAATCCAGTAGAGATCCAGATGTTTTTAAATCAAACTAATTCCAATCCTGTTCGTCTGTGTGTTAGCCCTGTGATAGACCGGTGACCTGTCCAGGGTGTACCCCATCTTTCGCCGGATGCTGGCTGGGATTGGCTCCAGCCCCCCTGTGATCCCGTTCGGGACTAAGCGGTATAAAAAATGAAATAATTCCAATCCTGTGGTTTTATTTTGAACCACCTGTTTTGAGGATTTAAAGCTTGGATTTGATTTCCTGATCTGATCGGCTATCAGAGTGACCCCGATCCTGTTCTGATTCCCTCGGATAGGAATAACCACTTTTGAATTCCTAGGCTCAGGTGATGGCTGACAGCTTTCACTCAAACAAATCATATTAACCAGACCAACAAAAAGGATTTAGTTTTATCTCCTTTCTCTCAATTCTATACACAACTAGTTTTGTGTGTATATTAGGAGCAGCTCTATGAACGCCTTTGAGGAGACCTTGTCCGAACCTCTGCACTGTTATTCCATTTGTACTGTTTATTTAAATATGATTTTATGAATGAGAATTAAAGTCACATAAAATTATTGTACAAGAAAACAAAGCATTTAACTTTTATATTTTGAAAAAGTCTTGTATAATGCAACAATAAATATACCCCAGAAATCATGTTTTGATAGGGATTAATAGAGTGGATTTTTGTGGTCACAATGATGAAATACAAGTTATATAATTATTTATCTTGGCTTACAGTACTTACAATAGATATTATAATTTTAAGTGACAACAACAAGCCCAGAGGTGATGTAAGCTTCCTGTAACGAGTGACATTAGGTCCTCCATTGTGACCTCCCTGTTGTACAGCCTCTACAGGGAACAGGGCTGGCTACAGCCACTGTCAGCCACATGGGATAGTCCTCCAAACAAATAACTGACATCTCAGTAAAACTGTCCAAAAGATTCAATATGGCATATTTGGTGTCAGTCTTTTAACGTCAGCCATGATGAGTAAGTGTTGACACCACAAATTCCTGAAAAGTTAGACACTCAATATGGTCATTACAGTCTAAATGGTCAACATGTCATTATCTTCATTATCTCCTGAGGCCAATTAGACAAACTGCACCACTGTGTACAGCCGACCTGGGCATCAATCCAAACAAACAAGTAAAACAACAGGGTCACTAAGGGTGACCCTGTTTTTATTCACAGAACTGGTTGTAGGCACAAGGCCTCCACAAAAATGATATGGCTGTTTTCTTACTTGCCACCACTTTGAAAAGTAACCAAACCTTAATTAGCTGCAAAATTATCCTGGTTCAGGATAGGAAGAGATTATGGTTTAGATTGAAAACAAGAGCTAGGTTAAGTTTACAGAACAACTGTAATGAGAAAAAGTCCAATAGACTGCTCTATGCATAGTTGCACTGTTTGCTAGCTCTGACCCACTGAACTGAACAGGCACATTTGCAGGAAAAATTGTTTTGAAACTAATTATTAATGTGGATGCCGTCCTTTACTTAACAGAATTGCCAATTGTTGCACATTAAGTAGCCATGCTTGTTGGACTGATGGTTACAGAAAATTACAACAGTTGTTTGTCACAGCCCCTTTATTTCCAACATGGAGAAGGATTGAGAGGAAGGAAGTAGTTGACAATTCAACAAGCATTTTGACACACAGTGATGCATTTAGTTTCTCCAACTAGGAGGTAAAAATAAATTCAGCATCATAACATTTTGGAGAGGAAATTACACTGATCCCAAACTCTTGCAAACTCTCCTGAGTACAATAACTATGGTGACATCTACAGGCACAGACCAGGTTAAATTGAACTGACCCTCTCCCAAACCCACAGTTGGGGTCTTCCTGTCTGTGGATCTCAAACAACAGATCTTGTTACATGCTGTAACTGTGTTCACGGGTATAATTAAATGATGTTTTCACAGGGCTTTGGATCAACACTTTTTGATGGCATCTTTTTCCTTTACCTGCCTACAATATCTTCATATTGCTCAGATGCATAAATTGTCTATAGAGCTGTTGTCTGCTCTGACTAATTTCCCCAAACAAATAGGAGAGCTCGTCCAGCAGCAAAAATTAAAACATATAATTGTCAGAGGCCCTCACATCCAGTCTGTAGGTAGAATGGAAAACAATACTCACTACTCTGACTTCAACTTCACCATTTTTGTAAATATTAGATATTACCGTTACCCAGTCTTTGTTTTTTGCCTTCTGTTGTATAGTTTCATTGTCTCTGCTAATCTTGTCATAATAGTGGTCATATTACATGAGAGATCACTCCATGAGTCCATGTACTTTTTCATTGTGTTTCTCTGTGTCAATGCTCTGTATGGCTCTGCAGGCTTTTTCCCCAGATTCCTGATGGACATTCTGTCTGACACTCATTTGATCTCCCGTCCAGCTTGTTTCACTCAAATCTATGTTATTTACACGTATGCATTCTGTGAAGTCACAATTTTAGGCATTATGTCTTATGATAGATATGTTGCTGTATGTCAGCCTTTACATTATCACAGAAAAATGACCTTACCAATGGTGCTAAGGTTGGCAGCTTTTGCATGGTTCTGTCCAAACCTTTACCTTTTAATTAGCATTTTCATTATCACAAGGCTTCCTCTATGTGGCAATAAGATTAAAAAAGTATACTGTGCCAGCTGGGATGTTGTGAAACTATCATGTGTGACCTCAGCCGTCACACAGATTGTTGCCACAACAGGGGCCATAATTGTTACTCTTCTCTCCATTTGTTGTATCTTGTACACTTACTTGAGAATAGTGGTTCTTTGTTCGAAAAGTTCCACAGAGTTTAGGAGAAAAGTGTTGCAAAGCTGTCTGCCCCACATTCTTTCAATTGCAATTTATTGTGTCACAGCATTCTCTGATACTCTTCTGGACAGATTTAACCCTCAAGAGCTGAATCCATTTGTCGCCATAATAGTGTCACTGGAATTTGTTATTATTCCTCCAGCTTTAAACCCTCTTTTATATGGCCTAAAGCTACAAGAAATTCGAAAACATGTTTTCAGGTTGGTGTGCTTGAAAACAATCACTTAGCAATTTTCAGTTAGACCTTTGCAGTGGAAACAGCTAATGATGTGAACAATGCTACTCTGTGAACAATGCTTAGCCCACAAATGATCTTAAATAATAAGACTAATGATATCTATGTATTATAAATGTAGCTATCTTGGGTTGACATATAAATATGTGTATCTGTCAAAAAGGAAATCGTAAAGGTAATTATGATTGCATAACACTGTAAACATCCTGTAACATATTTAATATTCACTTTCATTCTATATTCTCAGTTTACCATTAAAGTGTCTCATGACTAATGCCCTATACTATATATATATATGTAAATGTGCTATGTGTGTGTTTATGTTTGTCTTTCTGTGGTGTAGGTTGAATTTGCTTGATATGTCTTCACTGTTTCTTTGTTTTTATTTCCCTGTAAAGCACTTTGTAAACCCTGTTTTAGAAAATTTCTCTATTAATAAAAATAATAATGATATTATTAATATTATTGGGACTGGCGACCTGTCCAGTTTGTACCACACAATTGTCAGTTGGGATTGCCCCCACCCCTGAACTTTGTTAGCATAAGCTGTATAGATGATGGATCGATGAATGTATTATTATTATTATTATTATTACTGGTGGGGTGTCAAAGTCCAAAAAATCTGTCTTCCCCTGGGATATATACCACATATTGTACCAGTGTAGTCTGTTGACATCGCCTATATTTCCAGAAAAGTTGGAACATTTCCCTAAATGCAATAAAAACTAATAATAGTAAATTACATTTACTGGCACCTTTCAAACTCCCCAGGACACCTTACAAAACAACAGGAGTTAAGTAGTCATGGTGGCAAAAGAAAATTAATGGAGCCATCATAAACAGTGGATCCAAGACACCATGAAAATCTAATCTGCCCTTAATGGCAATTTTGCTAGTAGTGCTGGGATAGATGTGGAGGGTGAACACACAGTACTTACTGCAGATTTCCTTTCTTAATGCAGGCTCCACCTAAAATCAAACAAAGGCTGTTCCAAAAATGGGGATGAAACAATTCAGACAACAGACAAAATCTTGTTCTTCTTAACATCATTTTTGGTGTTGCATGAAGTTGTGTATACAAAAAGTGACAGGATTAGTTGTGTAAATGATAAAAAAGACATAATCCTGCCAACACCACACACCTGGCCAATTGTTGCATATTAAGTAGCCATGCTTGCTGGACTGATGGTTTCAGAAAGTTATAACAGTTGTTTGTCACAGCCCGTCTATTTCCAACATGGAGAAGGTGTCACGCTCCTGCCCCTCTTGCTTCCTGTCATGCTTTTATTTTCACATGACTTCCTGTTTTGTTTCACCTCAGTTTTGGCCCTTTTATTTAATCATCATTAGTTCACCTGCTCCTTATTGTTTGCACCTGTTTTTCACTTCTATTTAGGCAGCGTCCTCCCACCAGGACGCTGCCAGATTGTTCTAGACCCCAGCTCTGACTCTCCAGCACTTATACCTTGCCTGACTCTCTGTTTTTGACCTAGGATTACCGTTTTTTTCACCACCATGTTTTGTCTATACCCTCCCAGATTCTGATCGCCTGCTGTGTACCGACCTTCTGATTTTGTCCCCCTTGACCTCGAGTTTGGATCCCCTGGCTATACCTGTTTACCGGCACCGACCCTGGACTGTCTTATCGACCTGAGTGATATCCTGGACTTTTTGTTAGTTGTTTTGTTTACTACTAGTAAAGAACTTGTCACTACCTCAGTTCATCTGGTTATTTAATTGAGTTCACCCCAACCTCTGTTTGGCATCTGTACATGCCAAACCTGACAGAAGGAATGAGAGGAAGGAATGTTAAGATGTTGACAATTCAGCAAGCACTTTGACACACAGTGATGCATTTAGTTTCTCCAGCTGGGAGGTAAAAATAAATTCAGCATCATATCATAACATTTTGGAGAGGAAATTACACTGATCCCATATATTGTTGGTAATTAGTAACTGGAACACTAATACATGTACATCAGGAAAAGGCTTACAAGCTTTGTGTGTAAGTTTGCAAAGTCTCCTGAGTACAATAACTATGGTGACATCTACAGGCACAGACCAGGTTAAATTGAACTGACCCTCTCTCAAACCCACAGTTGGGGTCTTCCTGTCTGTGGATCTCAAACAACAGATCTTGTTACATGCTGTAACTGTGTTCACGGGTATAATTAAATGATGTTTTCACAGGGCTTTGGATCAACACTTTTTGATGGCATCTTTTTCCTTTACCTGCCTACAATATCTTCATATTGCTCAGATGCATAAATTGTCTATAGAGCTGTTGTCTGCTCTGACTAATTTCCCCAAACAAATAGGAGAGCTCGTCCAGCAGCAAAAATTAAAACATATAATTGTCAGAGGCCCTCACATCCAGTCTGTAGGTAGAATGGAAAACAATACTCACTACTCTGACTTCAACTTCACCATTTTTGTAAATATTGGATATTACCGTTACCCAGTCTTTGTTTTTTGCCTTCTGTTGTATAGTTTCATTGTCTCTGCTAATCTTGTCATAATAGTGGTCATATTACGTGAGAGATCACTCCATGAGTCCATGTACTTTTTCATTGTGTTTCTCTGTGTCAATGCTCTGTATGGCTCTGCAGGCTTTTTCCCCAGATTCCTGATGGACATTCTGTCTGACACTCATTTGATCTCCCGTCCAGCTTGTTTCACTCAAATCTATGTTATTTACACGTATGCATTCTGTGAAGTCACAATTTTAGGCATTATGTCTTATGATAGATATGTTGCTGTATGTCAGCCTTTACATTATCACAGAAAAATGACCTTACCAATGGTGCTAAGGTTGGCAGCTTTTGCATGGATCTGTCCAGCCTTAGACCTTTTAATGTGCATTTTCATTATCACAAGGCTTCCTCTATGTGGCAATAAGATTAAAAAAGTATACTGTGCCAGCTGGGATGTTGTGAAACTATCATGTGTGACCTCAGCCGTCACACAGATTGTTGCCACAACAGGGGCCATAATTGTTACTCTTCTCTCCATTTGTTGTATCTTGTACACTTACTTGAGAATAGTGGTTCTTTGTTCGAAAAGTTCCACAGAGTTTAGGAGAAAAGTGTTGCAAAGCTGTCTGCCCCACATTCTTTCAATTGCAATTTATTGTGTCACAGCATTCTCTGATACTCTTCTGGACAGATTTAACCCTCAAGAGCTGAATCCATTTGTCGCCATAATAGTGTCACTGGAATTTGTTATTATTCCTCCAGCTTTAAACCCTCTTTTATATGGCCTAAAGCTACAAGAAATTCGAAAACATGTTTTCAGGTTGGTGTGCTTGAAAACAATCACTTAGCAATTTTCAGTTAGACCTTTGCAGTGGAAACAGCTAATGATGTGAACAATGCTACTCTGTGAACAATGCTTAGCCCACAAATGATCTTAAATAATAAGACTAATGATATCTATGTATTATAAATGTAGCTATCTTGGGTTGACATATAAATATGTGTATCTGTCAAAAAGGAAATCGTAAAGGTAATTATGATTGCATAACACTGTAAACATCCTGTAACATATTTAATATTCACTTTCATTCTATATTCTCAGTTTACCATTAAAGTGTCTCATGACTAATGCCCTATACTATATATATATATGTAAATGTGCTATGTGTGTGTTTATGTTTGTCTTTCTGTGGTGTAGGTTGAATTTGCTTGATATGTCTTCACTGTTTCTTTGTTTTTATTTCCCTGTAAAGCACTTTGTAAACCCTGTCTTAGAAAATTTCTCTATTAATAAAAATAATAATGATATTATTAATATTATTGGGACTGGCGACCTGTCCAGTTTGTACCACACAATTGTCAGTTGGGATTGCCCCCACCCCTGAACTTTGTTAGCATAACATTTATTTCCAGAAAAGTTGCGACATTTTCCTAAATGCATTATAACAAATAAAAATAATAAATTGCTTTTATCATTATTGCAAACACCCCAGGATGCCTTACAAATCAACAGCAGTTAAAACACAGCAATGTAAAGGGAAAGGTTAAAATCAAGAACACCTGGATGAACAGAATGACATAGTCATAATTGCGTTCTGATTAATATGCTAATTTAAACAAAGAGTTCAGGTGGTGACGAGGTAGAGGCAGTGAATTCTAAGGTTTTGGTGCAGCTGAAGGCACTGGCACCCATGGTGCTAAGTCTTAAACCAGGGATAGTAAGAGCAGCTGAGGAGGATCTTAAGGAGCAAGGAGGAGTATAACGATGGAGAAGGACAGAGAGGTTGGGGGTGCTAATAACAGAGGGCTTTGAAGGTAAGGAGGAGAATCTCATAGTGAATTCCTTGATGTAGATGAAGCCAATTAAGCTACATGAGGAGGGGTGTGACATGGTGTGCGTAGTGATTCTTGCAGCATTGTTTTATGTGGTTTGGAGCTGATGAAGGGCTTTATTGGAAGGAAGATGGTTCAGTCAGTGTGAGCTGTTACAAGATTGTGGATGAGAACTTGTGTGTTTTGATATGAGAGAACAGGACATCGTCTGGATATGCTGCATAGTCGGAAATAGGCAGGTCGTTTCTGTGCAGATTCTCAGTCATGCAGGTCATAGTAAACTGAAAAAACTTGTAGGCTTCATCAGTTCTGACTGACTCAATACTCGAGCCAGGTGCTCTGTAGATACATTTAGTAAGTGGGTTGAGAAAAATTATTCAATCTTAAGTAATAAGGTAATGTTTTTATATGGCGACTACAATATCGATTTATTAAATCCCAATAAGAAGATGGATATTGATGCATTTATTGATGTATTATATAGTTGTAGTCTGTTTCCCATTATCACAAGACCTAGTAGAATAACCACAGATAGTGCAACGCTGATTGACAATATATTTACAAATGATATAGATAACAATATAGTAAGTGGACTTCTGATCAATGACATTAGTGATCACTTACCAGTATTTTTAGTGTACGATTGCCACCTTAAAAAACATGCTTATACAAGGTTGATCAATGATGAAACTAAAAGGTCATTTAAGGAGGACCTTTTGAGACAGAATTGGGATT